TTACTAAAAATAATCGGAGCAATGCTTTCCCACCGTACTCCAAAAGATCGATGAAAATCCTGGCTCAAAGGAAGGTCATGTACCGAGACCCAGGGCTGCTCTCACTCGGTCCACTTCATCCATGTTTTCCCCCGAGTCTATCCAAACAGCACCGAGCAGTGCTTCCACTGTAGTCGCCCGCGTACCGTTCGGGACTTTACCTTTGTGCGCTGGGTTGCCTTCCATAAATTGATCAAGTCCAAATTCTTTACCCCGTAAACTCAAGTTTTCATTGCACGCCTCCTTCAAGAGCTTGTGCTCGGCCTCTTTTTCAGGTTAGTGGATTGAGCACAGGCCCGCAGGGCAAGATCAAACGTGCCGGTGTCATCTTCGTCGTTATACCATTGACCCAACAGCGATGCGGACAGTATGGAGTCACCCACAAGAGCTAGGCGCTTATTACCTTGCGATCGAGCGGTCCCGGCCGGGTGCAGAGCTTCTTGCAGCAGAATACTTGATTTGAAATGATAGCCGATTAGGATGTGAAAGATGCACGAGGCGAGATTTTGACCCTACAACAGGTGATAACAGGCCTTCAAGACACACTCCAAGACCTGCAGAAATTACTTGAAAGTAACGACGCAAACGCCCTATCTACCTCCTCACGATTAGTCAGCAATATCACCAATTGCCTCCGACCTCCGAGCCTTGCAAGTGAGACTTGATATAGGAAAAGAAAAGTAGCTTCCTCGCGCTACATCTTGTACAAAGAAGAGGTTGGTGAACCAGGAGAGGGTGTTTGTAAACTACTTTTGGACCCGCAGCATTCTCTTGAACATCGAACAATGAACAGAAAAAAGTTGCGCAAATTCGGGTTAATGCAGACCTCTAATAGACCCCTAAGGAACGCAAATGCGATTGAGTAACCATTGCGATATGTACACCATCATTTACATAACTCAACATAGCTGAGGATCACATATGTCGTTCGGCAAAACTTGCGCCTTTGCTGTGAAATGACTGGAATGTCTTCAAAAAGTTGTATGACTAATGCTTAAGGCATCTTAGTCACGTGACGTCGCGTTCACCCTCGCGTTCACCCTCGCGTCCCCCTTTCCTCTCTCTTTCTCGAACCACCCTCTTCAAAGTCAACATGGTGGTACACAGAGGACTGTGTCATGTCGGATCCAATAAGATCGAGGGTAATCTTAGAACACCCTATCGGGGATGGCCTGAACGGCTTTCGTGCCACGTTCACCTCGATCTGTGAAGGCGCGGACTTGCGCTCACCAGACGAGGCCATCGATCGGCTTAAGCGGGAGGGTGAGGCACAGGAATCCATCATGAATCCTCCGTTTTGCTCACTTGAATGCAGATGTGCAAGATCTCGCATCCAGCCTCCTAACAGCCCTTCAAATCATTCCCACCGCCCGTCTTCTGCCGTCTAATTCGGGAGGAATCGTTCGCAGTAACCTGCTTCGACTCATATCCGCCGTCGCATCAAACGATTTCGACCTCGAACGAATCAAACCGCTGCTCAAAATATCCATTGTGAACACGTCAACAGACGAACAAATATGGAATCTTGTGGACGCTGCCGCAGCGGAATCCACGCCGCCCCCTCGAACGATTGCCTCCTCACTCCAGCAAACCCCGTGGCTCCACAAGACGAGTAGCTTTGCGAACTCTTCGGAATACCGCCAAGATGTTGACAGGGTCCTCAAGTCCGAGCTTGGACCTCTGTATGTAGGGCTCCCGCATTTTCGATCAACATTTTTTGGAGGCGTCAGCGGTCTTCAATCTGCATCCGATGCCGTATTTCAAAGATGCACGGAAGGCAGCAATCCGGCTTTTGCAGATGGGTGGAAAGGATGGCCAAAGAATGCAAACCAAGAAGATGTTTTGAGCTGGTTTGCAGATCTGAACGAGAAACTAGTAACATTCTCAGCAGACTACAATCCTGTTTCGGCACACCTGCGAAGGCCACTCGCACAGCCCAACAAACCCGTCCAGGGTTCCACGGCAGAGCGCAAGCTAGATATCGGGTTCGTGAGTGACACTAGCGCTGGAAAGGACACCCGATGTCAGTGGTCACAGATTCTCGTGCCCGGAGAGCTAAAAAGCAACCCTGCCGCCGACACCGCTTCTAAGGCATGGCTTGACTTGGGAAGGTATGCTAGGGAAGTCCTCGCAGCTCAAGATACCCGTCGCTTTGTCCTGGGCTTTACAATATGTGGCTCCTTCATGAGGATATGGGCCTTTGATCGTCTTGGAGGAGTCGCATCCGAACGATTTGACATAAATGAGGATGGGCTCCAGTTTGTGTCGACTATTCTCGGGTTTCTATGGATGAGCGAGGAAGACTGTGGATTTGACCCCACAATCATCACGAAAGATGGCCAGCGGACCATCGAAATAGAGCAGCACGGTCAGACCGAACGTCTCGTCCTCGAGAGATTGATGACACGGACACCTTGCATTGCAGGTCGAGCAACGACATGTTGGAAAGCGCATCTTGAAGAGGACCCCGGGACTCCACTCGTTGTCAAAGATTCTTGGCAATACACAGAGCGCGACGAGGAAGGCGAACTACTTGAAGAAGCCACCAAACGAGGGGTGGTAAACGTCGCACGGTATTATCATCATGCGACGGTTCGTATCCGTGGTAAGACTGATGATGTCCGGGACAACGTTCGAGGCGGCTTGGACATCAGGACCGCGAGCAATTATCGGCCAGAACGATTGTCGCTCTCGACTGGCACAAGTGCAACCGCTGCTCCGCGAAAGGGCCGGAGCAGTGGTAGATCCGGCGTAAAGCGCTCTTCCAGTCAAACTGGTGCCTCTCTGCCACCTAGCAAGCGATCCTGTTCGGCATCTCCTACCAAGGCACCCAGCAACCCACTGCCAAATCGAGTTCATCGCCGTGTCGTCCTGCGTGACTATGGCATACCAATTTACAAGGCAAGCACGCGCTCGGCCTTGCTTGCCGCGTTAGAGGGTTGCATTGCAGGGCATCAGTCTTTGCAAAGGGCAGGCATTCTTCACCGAGATATCTCAGTCAATAATCTCATGATCAACGAGGACAAAAATAACCCGTCGTGGCCGTCGTTTTTGATTGATCTTGATCTGGCCGTCAGAGAGGAGCGAGACGGTGCCTCGGGAGCAAATGGAAAGACCGGCACAAGGGCCTTTATGGCGATTGGCTCACTTCTAGGCGAGAAGCACTCTTTTATGCATGACCTTGAATCATTCTTCTGGGTGATCTTTTGGATTTGCATCCACTACGAGGGGGGGGGGAATGGAAGAGTTGTTGCGAGGTTTGATAAGTGGAATTTTGTGGATACAGAGGACTTGGCTTTTTTGAAAACAGGCCAGATATCCGAGGAAGCGGATTTTATGAGGTCTGCGAATGAGTACTTCACAGAGTACTTCCAGCCACTTATTCCATGCATCAACACACTTCGGAAGGCGGTCTTTCCTAATGGGAGGAGATGGACGAAGGAAGATATAGGATTGTATGATAGGATGAAAGAGATCCTACGGGGCACCCAAGAGGACTGAGAAGTTTATTGACATTCACTTCTGCCCCAGTCACTCAAAAGGCTAGGATCTAGGGGGAAATGGCAGGAGCAATGCGTGATTTGCCCGCGCACCGCCATGACTCAGCAGACATAATCATGTGGCCAACAATAAACCACTATATATTCTCTTCTTCTGATTATTCTAGACCGCGATCCATGTTTCAGTGTATCCCATGTAGTTTTGCCTGATCGATTTCATTGATCTTGTCTGTAGGATGATGACGGAAATCTTACAAGGTGGATCCGCAAGATTTCAGGGTCTTACCTTCCGTCTGTGTTCGAAATGTACTCTAGAAATCACCAGATCACCAGAGCAACTGTCAACCTGAGCCGCCTAGTACAGTACTGTACTTGGTACTCCAACAAAGATCAATTGTTGCATGAAAGCTTATCCTGTACCAACTTTTGGCAGACTTGCTACGCTGTGAATGGCAGCACAGCATGCCATAACACGCCTCCATTCACTTGTCACCGTTTGTGGAATAACCCAGGATTGCCTACTCAATAGATAATCTGTAGTGATAAGAGCATATTTTCCATTTAACACGTGTAATATGCACAGAAAAGTATCAATCTGAGATTCACATTTGGATGATCCTGACTGAAGACGATCGGAGCACTCCTTTCCTACCGTACTACAAAAGATCAATGAAAACAACCCACTTTAAAGAAAGTCAGGCACTGAGACCTAGGTTTGTCCTCACTGGATCCACTTCTTGTACGTTCTTCCCCGAGTCTCCCCAAACAGCATCGAGGAGCGCTTCTGCAGTAGTCGTCTGCGTAACTTTCGGGACTTAACCTTGTGTGCTGGGTGGCTTTCCATAAACTGATCAAGCCCAAACTTCTCTCCACGTAAACTCAAGTTCTCATTTCACGCATGCTCCTTTACGTGCTTGTGCCCATCCTCTATTTCAGATTAGTGGATTACACACCGTACCCCGAGGTAGTGTCAAACGTGTCAGTGAGTTTCCATCACTATGCCATTGATCCAATAGTGAAGCGGACAGCATGGAGCCGCCCACAAGAGCTAGGCACTTGTTGCCTTGTGATGGAGGGGTCCCAGCCGGGTGCAAAGCTTTTCACGGCAGATTGCTTGATTTGAAATGATAGCCGATTTGGTCCTCGATCTCCTCCATTTTGATTTGAGATGTCACTGTTACTGACTAGGATAAAAGCTACGGAATGAATCGAAATCCAGCGCATTTTAAGCTCTTTGGTGGCAAAGTCGAGATATCTTGCTTTTCAAGACGACTTGACCAAAGCAAGATTAGAACCACCGGGACGATAGATCCAGAGGACTGGTCTGCTCATCAATACCGAGTGTAGGTGTAGGAGAAAGTCACCCTTAGGTAAGCGGGCATAAAACGCTGGCTTGTTTGTCAGAATTTCTCTAGCAAAGGAATCGAATACTTGAAATTTGCCGCTGAAGCCGTTGGATTTGTGGCCCGTGATTTGCTGGTACCAGGGTCATTCAAATGGCGACGCGCGAAGCTTGATATCTTTCAAAAAGTGACAGAGAGCCTGGAAAGCCTCATAGCTACAAACTTGACTCTCAATAAGAGGCGAACCAGCCTGACGTAGGTGGTAAAGCCGTATCAATTTTATAATTCAATAAGACGTGATCCAAGGCAAAATCACTCACGTCCCCCAGTTTCCTACAATATTTTGCACAAAACGCTGCGGGTTGAGTGAACATAAATGCATGGAAGACTCAACGTAAGATGGAGGGATCGTACCCTGCATAGCAGAATTCTGTGAACTCTCAGTGCGTGGCCACATCGACAGCTGAAATTGGGGTTCTCCAACATTTTCCGCATGGTTACTCTGCAATATGATATCATGTATCTGACCACGGGTCCTGGGTAGATTCCCCAGCATCGACTCAACCCGTGGCAGGAAAAACGGGGTACTCTTCCACAACCTCTTTCGTTGCCATGCTGAGCTTGCTGAGCCGTAATTCTATCCAGTCCACGCGCTCAAGAATGAAGAATGCCGATACGTAGAGGAACAGATCATCGGTGCAGGTGTCAGGGGACAAGGGGTCCGGTCCGGTCCAGCCGAAGAAGCATTCGCTCTCATAGCCAGGATAGAATAGGCATTCGATGAAGGGGGACCTCTCGCCGTATCTTGCACGATTTGGCATGGTGTTAGGTCGGACTAATCGGAGACTGTGATGGTTGGCTGCGACACAGGGTGGTGGGCTCGGCACAGTGGGGAACTCTCTCCAGATTGAATCCAGGTCCAGATCCAAGTCGCAGTCTGAAGAGATTGTCAGTGCTGAAACCAATCATTGAAGTTGACCCAACATACCCATTCGATCACGGTGTCCCATTCTTCGGGCACCGTATGTGCCAATTTAAGGATAAAGCTGGCTTGTGAAGAAAAGAAAATTTGGAGAGTGAAACAGCACCAGTGGGTTGCAAGCTATTATGTATACGCCAGAATGCCTGACAGGCATTTCGCCGGCGCTATCACTTGGTTACTTTCTGAGGAGCAGCTAGTTCGTTCACAAGCACGAGACAAGAGGAAGTAAAGCATGAAACGAATTAGGAATACGAAAGTTGGTATATTCGACCAAAACCACTCGTGTGTACTTGACCGGTCTCTATATTGATCGATTGGTGTTCGTTCAATGTGTAATTGCCCATTCATTGACCGACCGTGTGCCTGGGAAATGCCCCGTTCAACCAACCCTCCGATCCGTTCACTGTCTGCCCATCCAGTTTAACGGTAAAGCCACAAGTTCGGTTAGATTCCACTTAGCTCAAGGAAGCTCACTTGTCTGGTGAAACCGTCTGTCACTATTTTGCAATGTTGCGAGAACTCCCTGGTGTACCGAAACAAAAAGCCTGACGACGATCCCACTACAACAATTCCTGATTGGTACAGCATTGATGAAGCTTTTCGTTCTCTTTCATCAGCCATTCGTTGGAACTTTGCAGGAAGCGGCGCTCCTCTTCCAAGCGTATTTTTCCGGCAGACTTGATCATGTAGCACTCCCACAGACAGAGATAGAGGTTCAAGAGGTCGACAGCAGAGGACGCCAAAGAGGGCTTTTCTTGCAGAATTTCGGCGAAGTCGCAGGTGAACGAACATGCACTATTAATCGAAAATGTCTGTATTATGGTCAGAGTCGGTTAAACAGGGACTCGGAGAGGTCTAACTTTTGCCCCCTTGGGTGGCGTTCATTTCGAGAAACGAGTAGCTTGTTTGGAGCTTTCTGGTGTCCCAGCTGGCTTCTCATCAAAATCTGATGACTCTCGCTTTCTTTTGTTGGCCTGTCCCGAATGAGAGTAGGAAGCAGGAGCATCCATTGGGTTGGTTCGAGAGACGTGCGGGCTCTCTTGTGTTTCAATGGCAGGGCAGAGATAGGCTTAATGCTCAAGAATGTAGATTCTTATTCACGGGCTGGATCATACAAGCACTTGCGATTTTCAGTCATACAAGTGGTACAAGGGGCCGTACCAGAGCACTTCGCTGAGTTAGTTCTGGCCACGAGAGGAGGAACGACAGTTCTAACCTTAGATCGCTTTTTCTGACATCCGGTACAGGCCAGAGAGACATTGCGTCGCGGTTTTGTCGGCGCGGCCAATCTCAGATATTGATTGCCGACTTCCTTATCTCTAGGCAGAAGCTGACGCAGAGAATTATGTTTGGACATTGATGCAAATACAATGATAGTATGTATGCAGGTAAAACAGACAGTATTCAATTGGATGGACGGGGAGAGAGAGAAGGTGAGAGTGGAAGGAAGACTATCTAGTTGGTCTATCCTACATGTGATGCCTGAGGCATCCAACAGACAGTGCAGGATTAGGTGAGTGACGGCACTTCGTGGATAGAGAGATTTGGATCTGGAAGTGGGCTTTGGGAGAAACATTGAGAGTTAGAGACTCAGGGGATTCTTTCAGGCTCTGTGTGTTTTCCTTTAACATCCTTGCTCGCGATTCTCTTTGTTTGCCAAACAGAAAACCATCCATAACAAAGAACCCAGCTAGAAGACCCACCATTGGGGAAATCTCTGCAGTATCATTGGCAGATTATTGGAATAATCAGCTCTCATTGGCCATATTCCTTCCCAGAGCACCCACATCATATCGCGCTGTAGCCTTTCCGCACGATCCGTGGCTTCTCATCTAGACCAGCGGAATCGAGGTGTTTACTTCGATACAGGAAGTGCATGATACACTGAGTTCATCTGGCAATTTGGCCTCCTCGTCGACGCCAGGCAACTACGCCGACTATCACTAGAATCTCTTCCGCAATGATAACGTCTCAGCAATACCTTTCTGTTTGGCTTGTTGGTAAAATTTCACGGCTCAAGTACCATGCAGGACTAACACGTATTTTATTTTTAGGCTATCGTTATAAATGTAACCGTGCTAGAATACTACCAAGATCGGGGATCAGGATGTCGACTTTCATAGGAATATAGCGTATCTCTGAAGAGATATCGAGAAAGGCTTGAATTGGCGGAAACCCCCATTAAGCATTCTGTTGGTCCCGTATGATCAGCCCCTTTCGGGGAACCGGATTGACCTAGTCAAAAAAAATAGTCTTAAGCGCAGGACGTGATAATCAGCCCGCTCCCGACCGCTAAAAAGCAAGTTCTCACATCATCACTTCGAAAGCTCTTTCAAGGAGGCGAACAGGCAATACGGCCCTGCAGCTTATTGCTATTATGATGAAGCTGGCATGTGCTGTCAGCCCAGGCCTCACCTTTTGCTAAGTTTCGCAGCTTTACATGACCCCCAAGCTGAAGGGACTGCGAGTATACTAAGTCACGTGCACTTTCTCATTCATGGTGAGATTCTGTAAGGATCGTGTCGGAAGTAAAGATTTTTTTTTTAGGGGGAATAGTCCTTCTCATCATCATGTATGAAATAGCAATTAGGACGGAGTTTAATGACCGCCTCCCGGAGGCGGTCAGTATTGCCGTCGGGCCAGGACTATATGTTCTTACCCTTCATGTTTTGTTAGTTGAGGAAGAGGAAGAATCCATCCTAGGAGTTCAGTTTATCTCTTTCACCCATCAGTTTGCTTCAAGTCCTTTGGATCTTCCCTTCTGTCGGAAATCAGTAAAGTGGTCCATCTGGAAGGCATCTGGCAAGGATCTCTGGAGGGGAAACTGACTCGCTGAGGGTGGGTCAGGTTTCGGCCTGACAGATCGCATGGTTTCTATTGGATAACCGTGCCAAGCGCCCAACCACCCAACCACCCATCCTGGGTAGTTGGGCGCTTGGCACGGTTACTACGGGTAATCTGTCACATAGGGCCGTAAATCAATCCACTCCCCCTCACATTCTGACATTTCGTCGTCTCATTCCCATATCTACATTGTGATAAGCTTGAGAGAATCTGTTTCTCAAGCACCTCAAGGTCCCGCTATTCAGTCTGTTGTGAAGATTTCAACTTTCAGCATGACCATCAAATGACTAAGGCGGACCTCAGGTTGCAAAACCCAAGGTAGCCCCGATTCAGGCAACCCTGCAACATTGGTGGATGAGAGTATTCAGTTAGATCCGAGAAAAACACCATGGTATGATATCATGGTGCTCGGAATTGTTTCCTGTTGCCTTTAGCTAATAAATCTACAATGGTGAGCCCGCATCCCTACAGGTCGATCCCAAGCTAATGCTGGCTTTCATCGAGGGGAACTCTGGAAGTCAGGTATATCTGATCATAAGACTACTGCGAGTTGTTTCTATTTCGAAATGTCTCTTGCTGATCGTGATTTATTTGCATGTCTGATAGCCCGCCGAGAACAAGGAGACCCCGTCCAACAAGCTTCTTATCGACTCCGACGAACTGATTTACACAGGTACTCATGACGCGCCTTCAGAATATAGGACTTGATTATTGACTTTGGTATAAGAAGCCGCCGGCTACCGCGAAAAAGGCAAAGGTATCGATCACAAGCCCCAGATGACGTATACCTTCAAAGATTGCACCTTTGACGATTCGAGCATGCTGTCGTTCACCGGAATCTCAGGCTCCGCCAGTAAAACAGTGGTCCTTCGTGATTCCAAAAAGAGTCGAACGGTTTTTGCCAGCGGTAATATGGATAAAGGTACGTTCTTGAGAGAATTCTGTGGAAAGCAAAAGTAAGCCCAACAAACAAAGACTCACGGAGCTATGTTTGTATTGCTTTCATCTACTTAAATTTAATCTTTATTCCTGGGGGCATGAATTAAAATAAAAAAAATTGTATCCGAACATCTCTTTGTCAAAGTTTGAAGCTATATTGAATACAGAGTCAATGTACGGGCTGTAGATTCAATTTGTCAAAGCCCTCTTGTATGGGAGGGAGCATTGTATTGAGAGATCGTACCCATTGGGGAACGAATGAGATTGTGTGTCAGCAGAAAATGGGAATCAGGTGAACCCTGTAAAATGGCCTAGTGGCCTAACTTTCTCCACATTTCAATTTCACACATGAGTAAACGCATTTCAACCCCCTCTCTGTCACTTTCTTCGATACGGGCAAAGCGCAATGCCTCGAGGAGATGTTTGAAAGGAAGCTTCTCTCCGTGGTTGCCGCACAATATTACATAGAGAATGTCCCGCGGATCTTCAGTGGTCAGCTCAGATACGAAATGATGAGTCTTGGACACAAACCATGAGATGGAGACTCCTTCAAATGAGTATTCATGATTCCCAACCAGACTTCTGAGCTCATAGCCTCCATCCATAGGCTCAAGATATTTGAGGATGCATTCACGTCTAATCGTTCGAAAGCAGATCTATAAAAGTATTCCAATAGAGGTTCATCGCATTTTTCGAGATTCATCAGAATGTTTTTCAGGGCTGAGTCACCTCTAACCACTAGTTGATCAATCCATGACAAGTTATGCTCGGAATAGGAGCAAATTTTGCAATGAGCCGCAAAATGCTGGTGCTTTTTCGTTGGATCGTTATGCCATTCTTTGCTGCATGTTCTCGTACATCAGCATTAAAATTTACCAAGGACTGGAATACGTTTGCCTTACAAGCCTTGGGGTCCAGCGCGCCCGTGTTTCGTCCTCATGAACGAGTTCTGCATACTGTCCCATGCTGCTTCATGGCTAGAATATGCAGTTAGAGGGCTCGTTTTAGAAGAAGTTGAGTTCGAGGAAAAAGTAACTATCTCTCTTTCCCAGAAAGGACTGATGAAACTTTCAATCGACGGGTACGACTGGGGAATTGGCGTGGGGACAAGGGAGTCGCGAGGCCGGGGACCAGGACCAGAACCAGAAAGCCAATGTTCGCTATTGTAAGACATGCTCTTGCAGCAAAAGGTTTCGAGAAGAATCGAAGGGAGGCAGTGTAAATGAAGAATGAAGGTCTCATCTGGCTGAAGCGGAGACGCAGGGTTGATGGGATTCATCTGTACTAAAGTACGACGTGAAGGAAGGAAGGGAAGACAGCCGACCCTCCCGCCCCTTGCTCAGGAAGATTTGTCGCAGTTCAAGCCGTGATGAGCGGGGAAAATCAGTAATGCATATCCTGAATCGCAACTAGCTGGTTCTTGGGCGCTTATTGGTCTGGAAAAGAGTGTTTTGGGGGACATACAAGAATACCAGGGGCGTTCTTACAAGGATGTTTATACAATAGGATTGGCTGCCAGAATATCTCGCTGCAGCAGGTATGGAGCATTCAAGAACTATTGAGTAGATCACGTCCGTCTAAATACAAGCGCGTTCAAAGAATGAAAATTACCATTTAATGGAAAGGTATCGTAATATTGGTATCCGTGCGCCAAGGCGCATCAATCCCTCTACAAAGCCTCAATGTACAAAGAGATGTCTTGCATCTTCGATTATGCATGCATCTGCTCAGCCCCACCGCCTCTGCGTTTGTCATGGCAAGTGATGGCGTCAATATGGCAAGGGCAAATTCCTTATATTCTGTTCCCATACTCAGGCTGAACATACAGATTCACAAGGCATTCCTCAAGACATCAGCCCAAACATTATTGATGGCCATGCAAATTTGGTGGCTGGGTACCCCGGATCTGGCAAAGGCAATCAAACGGCAACACGAACTCGATCCCGAGACTTCATTGCTAGTGGAGGCCTTTCAGCGCCTTCTGATGAATAAAAACAGAAAGGGACGGAATAATTTGGCCAAAAACGCCATCTTGGAGCAACATGTGCAAGCCATGATGGGTGACCTCACTGATTTCTCGCTTAATGTGTTTGCACTCCTCACCTGCCACCTCAATGTAAATTTGAGAGCCGCTCTCTCCCGCTAGATTCTTTGATTCTTTGAGGGAGGAACCTGAGAAACCCCTCGACGATGTTTGCGTTGACATCTATCTTACTCACACGACAATGGACAAGTCGGGGTCAGCAAATAGCTTTAAAAGAAAGTTTATCGAGCTACTGGGGCATGTGGTATATCATGTAATCAAGGAGAAATGGGTCTTGTATATTTGAATGGTTAGTTGAGGTGTCTGATTGTATTGTCGTCGTTGCAGTAATTTACAAGAAGTCACTCTACTCTTATTCTTCTAGACTGAAAGAGCTCACCTGAGCCCTGTTCTATATTTGCTGCCAAAACTTGAACTCCACTGTTGCTTCAATAGTCACTTTCCATTCTGCTCTTCCATCTCCATGTTTATGTAGTCCCCAATTGCATCCAATTTCCTATCTTCAATTCTCCCAGTAAAGCACTTCTAAGAGGCCCCAGAAATGCCACCAAGCCACCACATCTGTATCTTTCTCTGCTCAGCAAGTACGTCAAATTGGGACACAGAAGTTCAAGCGCACGATCATGCAATCACACAAACTCGCCGCAGCAACGACGGCTTTGGTGCACATATTTCTTGCCGTTGGGATTTATCCGTACCAATCTTCGGCAAAACGCAAAGCTCTAAAAACAAACAAACTCTTGATCCCCTTTGCCCGACAAGTGATTGCAATGCCCTCCGCTCAGCCGTTGGCGATTATTTCACTTGTCGCTTGGCAGCCCGGGTCAACGTGACCAATGGCGAAGGAACTAGCCAAAACGGGTTTCATAGTCGACAACAGCAAATTGGTTAACGGAGATGTAAATAGAAGAGGTTCATTCTAGCATTCAAGACCTGCGGGCGCTCACTGTATGCCTGAAAATCCTCATGGGATGGCGTCATATTGAACTCAGTGGCATTTGCGGAGCTTGGATTAGACCCGATAGAGCTCGCTACGATGGAGCTATAGTTGTTGGGTTTGAAGGAGGTGTATGACTGGACGTGCTGAGCTTGAAAATCGATGCTAGAGTTGAGGCCCTCCTGTTGATTTGTCTCAGGGATTGAGGGTTTCGGCTCGACAATTTCGGGAGGGGGGTAATTCTCTAGGAAGTCTGTGAGCTATAAGTGTTTGTCTGTAGTTAGAACAGAAAGATGAACGTACGCTGTTGTCTCTGGCCAGCCAAATGATTAGGGGCTTCGGAAACTTGTAAGGAGAGCTCGCTGAGGTTGGACGATAGTCGAGGATATTTCTGAGGTCTGAAAGGCTGTGTACTATGCATGGTTTGATGACTGGGATCTTCCTGGGTATCCCAGTGAGGATGGTGGGTTGTAAGAGCAGTATAGCATAACGGAGGACAGTGGGTGTCCATCTTCATGAGAGAGACCACTGAGAGATAAGGATGGGATGGTGGTCCGACTTCGATATGGACTAGAGAGCCGTGGCAGGATGAAAACCGACCGACCTTGAATTGAACAATGGCTGCATGGACTAATATACGATGACCGGCATCTTTGACGCACAGGCTGCGCTTCCACAACCATTGGGTGCCATAAAATCATTCATCAGTCGAAGAGGCTGCCATCCTTTGACTAGATGTGCTCCACTTTCCAATCCAGCATGCATTATTGCCCTGTTGGGGACTAATACTAAGCCAGAGTTGAAATCGCGTTTTTTTGTTGGTAATCTCTTTCTCTCATTTTGCAAGTACTAGTGTGCCAGCACTTGCGTCTCTCGTTCTTTAGGTTCTGGGGATGCTTTGCGTCAGGGAGTATGACCCAGTACACCCAGATAGTAGCTTGCTACCGTGGCTAATGCAATCGCCCAATGGCTCACTTCGACTGTCTGCCTGCCTGCTTGATCTAATTGAGCTCTGTGGTTTCTTGGTAAACGCTTGGCAAGTGGCGACAAAAGAAGATTGCCGCTCTATCCCTAACCCTTGGAAAGCCTTGAGATGTGTCCCCACTGCACACTGACGCCAAATTTACTCATCTGCTCAAAAAGATGAAATACCGACTTTTTGAAAGACTTTGTCTGTATTGAGAGGGGGGCGGAACTCGTGATTCTGATTGGTCAAACAACCCCTTGCTAGTGTTTGTGATATGATCAGGGCTCGAGGGCATCCCATCTCATTCCAGCACATAAAAGGCGACTACTCAGGAGTCCCAAAGATTTGCTTTGTCGTTGAACAGCTTCTTTCTACCCCGTTGAAATGTCGACAGTCTCTCAAAACGTAAGACACCAATGATTTTCTTTACCCAGCTATATACTGAGTGATACAATTTCCCATTCCCATAGCAGGTCTCCGGAATAGCGCAACAACAACGCTGATCGCTCAACAAGTGTGGCTTCTAGGCACAAGAGAGATCAAACGAGCAACAAAGCGGCAGCACAAGCTCAATGCCAAAACTGCATCTCTGGTCTCCGCGTGCCAGACTCTCAGAAAGTACCACTACCGTTCTTGGGTCAAGCGCAGAGCTTTGGCCAAAAACAACATTCTGAAGAATTATCCGCACTGTGTGGCGAGCAAATTGACTACTTGGGCATAATCGGATAGTATGGACTTTTCAAATACTACATCCAAAACAGTGACTTAGGTACCACTGTATTCAGATAACCCTTGGTGTCTGCCAATTTTTAACAGCCTGTTCGCAAGCGCATCTGATAGGCAATTGAAATCATTGACGCATATTAACATCACCACTCATTATACGTACTATTTAAAACAGCATTGAGAAAATGTTGCCATGGCAACATTGGCCATTTGACGGTTCAATGATATGCTAACTCAGCAATGAGGAGGCAAAGTGAAGCATTACCTGGGCCATTGAACAGCCTCGGCCATTTTCTCCCCCTCTGAAAGAGATGAGGTTGGAGCCTTTCTGTTTATGAAGTATGCAGAGTAGGGTAGGTAACTCGGACTTACCAGTTTCCCACACCGCTTGACGGTAAGGAACAATAAAAAGTCGCGGACTGGCTATCCTTGCTCCTCGGTTTTTCTTTCACTTCAGCACCCCGATCAAAAGATTCGTTCGTTATCACTCTGGAATTCTCCCCGGTAAGGTACCTTCAAAAATTAAGTTTCATAATGCCTCACTGGTCGTGCGAATGGGAGAGTTGTGGGAAACCAGCCGCGCAGAGCGCAGGAGATTGCTTGCTGTGCGACAGACATCTTTGTCGCATGCATCGCCAAGCGCCGTGGCACAAATGCCCAAGACCGGAGGTCTGTGATGTATCTGCCCAAATACCAGTCACGGTCGCAATGCTCATAATCATCTATTAGGAAAATTGGACATCCTACAGTGCTCAATATGCAGCTACAGAGGCTCGTCACATAGACGAGCTACGCCTTCGAATAGATCGTTCTAAACTATGTTCCCGTGCATCGATGCTAAGAGAAGGTGTCTCCTGTTCCGTTGACTTGTCTCGCAAAAGCTTGTCTGCTATGATGGGAAATCAGAACTGCCATGCCGAGATCACCTTCGATGATAACGTTAAATGGCTGGCACGTTTTCGCCTCGCAAGAACCACATCACCGCCGCGGGAAGTTCGTGAGTGGATACTACGAAGCGAAGCTGCCACTATGATTTACCTCCAACGATGCACTCGCATCCCAACGCCCAAAGTCTTCGATTGGGCATGTGAATCTGATCCAGAAAACTCACTTGGAGTCGACTATATTCTGATGGAAAAGCTGGACGGAAAGCCTCTGAGTTGGCAGGCGGCGACTCCTCAGCAGAAAGAGAAGGTCATGCAGCAGTTGGTTGACATTTTCCTCGAGATTGATAAGCATCCTTTCAGAGCAATGGGTTCACTTGTCTCCTCGGCGGGAGGTGTTTTCGGTGTTCAAGGTCTCGCACATCAACCAACATTCCGAGCAGGAGAGGGGCCACTAGGCCCATTCTCTTCCTCGCTTGAAGGCTGTCAGGTTATCCTAAAGTCCTACCTTGCAATGATAGCTAGCAGCGAGATTGATTGCTGCTATCCGGTAGACACTTACCTCGTTCATCGACTTCGCCAGGACATCGTCGGCGTTCTCTTCCAAGATGTCCCGTCAGAGGACCAGTTCTTTCTCAAGCACCCGGATGACAAGGGTGACCACATTTTGGTCAATGACAGTTTCGATATTGTGGGAGTCATAGACTGGGAATGGACCCAGACTGTATCCAGGGCGGAGGCATTCTGTTCCCCGTGCATGTTGTGGCCAGTGGCTGAGTTCTACAACGGCTCTAACGCTTTAGCCGCAGATGAGTTGCGGCTCGCTGCTATCTATTACGAAAAGGGCCGTGAAGATCTCGCTGTCTGTGTCATTGAGGGCAGAAAGGCTCAGAGATTTCTCTTCGCTCTTGGCCCCGAGAGCTCTTTTCTAGATATGCAAACACATCTAAATCTCTTCGCAGGACTCCAGCGGGCCTTCAACTTTGAAGACGAGGAGTGGGAGACATGGAAGAGCAAGGCTCTCAAGAAATGGAAAGGTGATGACTTACTTCTCGGCTTGTTGGAACTAGAAAAGAACGAGAGGAAGGAGAGATGGGGGTCGAAGGAGCGAGGTGAGAGGAGTTTAAATAAAACAGATTGCGTGGATTCAATCTAGCATCGAGAGTAAGGCTTCTCACAAAAACGTCGATGTGCGTAGTAGTCAAACAAACTCAACAAGATGCCTGCAAATAGAGAAATATGTACATAATGAGATGGCTGTATTGCACAACTCTTTGATTGCTTGTGAGGCTATGACAGTGTTTACAGAAGTGCGCTTGAAGCTAGGATATTTTCTTATGACTTCAAAAGTCATCGGTACATTCTCATCGTTGACTTACTAAGCCTAAGGATGACGGTGTTGCCATAGCAAGCGTGATAACACACAACAGAACGTAAAGGTTAGGATTTGGCTTTATATTTAGGCGATACTTGATCGGAGAGAACGCTCTTGTGAACGAATGCAAATTGAAGATATTACTTATGAATACTCGCTCACTCGGCCTGGTTTGGTGTTGCTTGATACTTTGACGCAACTACCATCCACCATTGTATATCCGTCCTTGAAAAAAGGGACTACTCCACACTTTAAATTTGGGCAGTAGCTTTCCAATCAGCCCTCAACTATGAGTTGTGGGCCGCTCAGGCTGAAGGGGCTTAGTACGGCGCTTGAGATTCACAAATCAGATGCGTCTGAGGCCGTTTCTTACTATGATGCATCAACTGCCAAGTGGCAAAGTACTGACTAGCGTAACAGGCTCCATCCAATCAGACCGACACTGACGAGGGCAAAGGCTCCTTCGATTCGCATTGCTAGTCACATGTTGTTTCGGCACGGGCGTTCTTCTATTTCTCATCGGCCTTCCCGCTTTCTCACCTGCCCTCCGTTCATCGCCTCTCCCATGATATCTTCCGAATATATTTTTCAACGGCGATTACAAGTCACGTATCAACTTCTAGAGTCAGGTATCTCTAGCTTGGACGATGACCAAAGTGAAAATGTGGTGACATATTGCAAGCTGTTTCTTGGCACTGCGCTCGTGTCCGTTTCAAGCGCATCCTATTATAGGATAACGAAAGTGCGAAAGTTTCTTCGGAAAGTGAACACCCAGCTTGGCCCAACACTGCTCGTTCTTTGCATGTTATCCTATGTACCCTTATACCAAGCTATGTCGACTCAATCTGAATATTATCTTCCCAGAGCTTCAGCTATGGAACAAGGAGAACCCAGGAAACAAAGACCTGAATGTTTTCACAACCGATCTATACGAGCAGCATTGAGTGAAGTCATTACTGGATAGTGCTGCTTGTTCTACCGGATCCCCCCC